ATGCCAGGGGTGATGGCTTATGCCTATAATTCCAGCACTCTGGAGGAAGAAACAGGCAAATTTTGGTGAGATCTAGACCAGCCTGGAGTACATAGTGAGTAAAACAAAATTTCATGGAATAAATATATGTATATAGAAAACAAATAAGCTATTTACTTGAATTATATTGCCTGCGAATGTGGTTTAAAGCTGATGAGTCTTCTGACTGTGTCTTTCACATCCTTGTTCCTAAGACTGTAGATGAGTGGGTTCAGCATAGGAATCATGACTGTGAACAGCAGAGTAGCTACTTTAACTAACAGCCATGAGTTTTTGGAGTTGGGAACACAGTAGAGAAGGAGAATGATCCCATGGAAGATGGTGATGGCAGTCAGGTGGGAGGAGCATGTAGAGAAGGCCTTTTGAAGTCCACCCTTAGAAGGCATCTTGATGAGAGTCACAACTATGAAGATATAGGAGGCCAAGATGATCAGGAGGCTGCAAGTCTCATTGAATATAGAAATTATTAAACATATTATTTGGCTAAAGGTCGAGTCAGAGCAGGACAAAGAGAGGATGGCAGAGTATTCACAGCCAAAGTGATTTATGATGTTAGATCCACAGTAAGAAAGTTGATAAAGAGAGTATGTGATAGTCAAGGAACACAGTCCACCCCACATATAAGGTCCGGCTATTAGTACAGCACAGAGCTTAGGAGACATTACAACTCTGTAAAGCAGGGGGTTACAAACAGCGACAAACCTGTCATAGGCCATCACTGCTAACATAAACATTTCTGTAATCACAAATGCACAAATAAAGAAAAACTGTGTCAAGCATCCTTTGAAGGAGATAGTCCTGTCTTCCACAATCAGGATATCTAACAGTTTGGGTGTAAACACACTAGAATAGCAGAGATCCAAAAATGAAAGGTGACTGAGGAAAAAGTACATGGGTGTGTGAAGCTTGGGATTGATCCTTCTTACCACGATGATGCCCATGTTACCGACCAGAGTGACTGTGTAAATGGCTAGAAATAAGAGGAAAAGGGGTGCCTGAAGGTGCGGGTACTCTGAGAAACCCATCAAGATGAATGTGGTCACAGAACTATGGTTTCTCAAGGGAAGTGCCATTTTCCTTCATTGAAGAAAACAAAATTAAAGAGAACATTAAAGACTGGGAGTATAATGGATTATTCCTGAAAACCCTTGTCATATGGAAGATCAGAGTCTATTCATCAGAAAGAAAACAATTATAATTGGATATATATACAGAAATAGATGAAGCAGTACACATAAGAGTAAGGGTATCTCATTGTCACAACACTGTACTCTTATTGTATATACCTAAACATTGACTTGTACAAGGTACTTACATCATAGGAAAATTTTTATTTTAATTTTACAACAAAAAATGTCTTCGAAGAATACAACTAACACTTAACAGGCTTGTTTGAATTTAAAATATACTGATATTTCCTTATTTAGTACTTATAGGTTTTTAATCAGTATTGACAAAATGAAAAACAAAATGCTTAGTGTCCACTTAACATCAATCAGCATTTTTCAGACAGTACACGACCTAAAATTATTAGAATTTCACTAAATCGTGTGTTGTGTCTTATGACAATAATGATGCCTAGTATTTCCAAGGAATGTAGGTGTCCTAGCTCTAAAGGTTTGCAATATTTTAGGGGAAAATTTGACTTTAATCATCAGTCTTCCTTTTCTCATGACCACTGACTCGCAACTTCTCAGTTGCACAGAGGCAAATTGTTTTCCAACCCTTAAGTTTTCCACTTAGCCATGGTTATTTTTGTATGTGTGTGTTTGTGTATGAATATATGGATGTGTGTGTATGTGTGCCTGTGAAGGGCCAAAGGGGACACTGGGTGTCTGGAGTAGGAATATCAGGAAGCTCTGTGCTGCCCAACATGGGTGCTGGAACCCATCCCAGGACGTATGCAAGAGCAGCAAGTATTCCTAAACACAGAACCTCCTATCCAGTCTTCTTAGCTATGTTTCTTAAGATCATTGACTCTTAAAATGCTAGTAGGTTATACTCAATCAGATATCGATGCTTTAATTATTGCTGAACTCTATTGTGTCTCTGCTGAAGTGAAATCAGAAACCTAGTGATCTAAGGACAAGAAGAGAAACACAAATTGGAAGACCAAAGGTTAACCAATCAGAACATACCTCTCCAAGAGCCGAAGCAATCCCAATGATGATGATAGAGATGCTCGAGCCAAGATATTGACACATTTCTTTTCCATTTACAAATAATTTTTATCTAATAATATCTGTCTATGAACATCAATCTTCATATTGTGATATTGGGTAAGTGTGAAAGAGACTGGATTAAAAATAACCAAAATCTCTAAATTTTTATATGAATGAAGATGAAATGAAAATAATAATAGAGCGAGGTGTGGTGGTACACGCCTTCAGTCCCAGCACTCTGGAAGCAGAGGTGGTTGGATGTCTGAGAAATGGAGGTAAGTGTGGTCTCCATATTGAGTTTCAAACAAGCTGCGAGACATTGTGTCAAAAAGACCAAAAGGCACAAA